ATATTACGAGTTTACGGTTCTCATAATATTACGATATTACTCTCAAAGTCTCAAGTTTTCTTGGTTTTGTTAATGGCCCTAATTCTCCATCGTGCTTGAGTTTACATTTGTGCAAAACGTAATTTTCCACAACATGAGACAGCAGATCAGGATAATTGTTGAACCCAGTCAGTGTCACACTGTAGTATATCTCAGTGGCCATAAACCTCCGTTCCCATGTGTGATTCCAGTTGTCCTTTTCCTTTCCTCTTAATAAACATGTAATTTTCGCTGTGATTGATGTTTTTATGGTTCTTATTACATTCCCTCTCTCCCTGTCGCTGTGTCCAATGGCTAAACCAGTCGGTCTCCTCCGCCCCGTGGTCCCCATAAAAGTGATGGGCAGTGAAGACCCTGCACTACCAAGTAAATTCCTCTCTGCATCTCCTGCTGTAATTCCCATTACTGCCTTGGACTCCAGAAGCTCACATCCCCCCCAAAAAAACCTGTTCATTCTTTCCCTTCTCCTCCTCCTCCTCCTCCTCCTGCACCTCCTCTCCTTCCCTTCTTTAACACATGAAAGCTGTGGTGTGCATCATTCAAGAACTGTAACAATAAATTTTGTGCCTATGAGACACAATCACGACAATTTTAAATCCAGAGTGAGGAAGTGATGTAACAGACATATATGTGCTATGGGCTGTTATGTGCATGTGTTTAGGTTTAACTACACTAAGAAAAAAAAAAGCAAACATCCACATTTCATTTTAATTTCTCACTGGTTGCTGAAATGATACAACAGTCAATCCCTCGCAAGCATATTTTCCTTTATTTTTGCCAAACTGAGACAAATAGGTCTGCAGAGCCGACAATATGGACTGACATCATGAATTACATTGGATTTATGTTCATCATACATTTTTCTAATAAAGAATTTATGACAGTTTGGCTCTGCACTTAAAAGCAAAAGAGCCTCTGAAATCTATTTTTAAAAGCTGGTGTATGAAAATGCACTGTGTCAACTGATCTCCTCTCTTCAACAGAATACTAATGACTTCTTCGTTTCTTCAGTGGCTCGGGGGTCGCGTTTCACTGTAAATTCCACGAACCGCACATTCAAACAAGTCCTATTTTATGCACTGTCTTATGACGTGATAACATCAGAATAATGTTACCTTTGGGGCTGTGTGACAGACACCGAGGCTCCTCGGAGAAAGCCGCAGCTTTGAACGTGAAGTGCCAATGGAGATCTTCAAAGCTGCGAGTGTTACCACAGAGCCATCGTAATTATGACCAATTATATCAGGGCTCACTACACTGGTCTGATTTATGCTAAGGCTTGCACCAGCTGACATCATATTAATGGAAATGTCAATCCAGGCCAGATATCTGTGATACAGTGTGTCCCCAGCCGAAAAAACTTTAAATCTACTCAATGACAGTTTGTTTTACAGCACATGATAATGATAACATTATTTGTGTTGCACCTTTCAAAACAGCAGTTACATTATTATAATCCATGACCAGTAAACCAATATGACATTATATAACAGTAATGGAAAAAGAAGAGGGTAAAAGAAACTTAAGCAACAGCTGAAAACAGTGAAGTAAAACCATTTAGAAACTGACAGTGAGTTTCTCAGGTTCAACTACTTGATTGAGTCTCTGTCACCTTAGGTTTTGACTGTGGAATATCTAACAGGGCCTCATCAGGGGATTTCACTTTGCAAGTCAACAGTTTTAAAATGTTCTTATCATATGAAACAAACATTTCCTTGCCTCTCTAATACATGAAAGCATGTGAAGACTGAATTTGAATTGATGTGAGCTTCTTTCTTCAGTAGCTCAGTGATCTCACCACTGAACTGATACTGACACACTGACTGAAACTAGATGGTCACAGGCAGTGTTTTCACAAATTTTTT